TTAGTTTGACGTCCGGGATATCATCGGAATAGTATCGGATGAGATAACACAATGTGTACAACTGCCCGTAGAACCTCTCAATCTTACTCAAAAATGAGTGTCCCTATGTCCATATGTCCGTAGAACCCCTCAATCTTACTCAAAAGTGAATCTCCAAAATAACGCTGTTTCAGTCGGTCTTGAAGTTCGATAGCAGACAGATCTCTAATAAAGACTTTGGAGCATTAGTTCCACTCAATCGTTTCTTCAATACGAGCTATATTAAAATTACTTCAGTCTAGCCGGAGATCTGTCTGTTCAGTTTCTTGAATGCTGTCATATCTGTTGAAGACTTCAGCTTTATTTCCCATCTAACATTCAAGAGATCACAATTGTGATCTGACAGGTTTTGGGTTTATTTAGGGTTGTAATTTTCCTTTCTCTTTCTCCTTTTTTCAATAAGAATAAATTACAATATATATTGAATAAAATAGTATATTAATCTTTGAAGTTTGCTAAAACTTCTGTGGAATAATTCGTCGCATTGCTAATATATAATATAATAATAATAATAATAATTGTCGCTATGTGGGACGTTGATTCTACTATTATTGTACCAATAGTTGTATCAGTCAATGGACTTATTGGTAAAAATATGGACGATTATCTGTCCAAGTTAGGTTTGGGCAAATGGCTGAAGGCATTAATTCAAAAGTCGGCCTTATTAAATACGGCTCGAATAGTAAGAAGGTTCCTATCTTTGGATGCCTAACTTCACCGATGGCTTAGAATTCCTCGCCGCGGTGGATAATAACCGAAATAATAATATTATTTATATAGATTGTATTTATATTTATAATATTATAGTTTTGGGATAATATATGTGATAGAAATAATAATAATAATAATATCAGGATTGCGTTTGCTGGGACAAATGTTAGTTTGTCCCAGCCGGATATAATTCAAAAACTGACGGAGTGTAAAGACGACCTGAAGCAAAGAATCGCTGCTTGGGGAAAGCGGATTCGGCGATATACCGAGAGGTCGACACGGTTCAACCAGAATTGTCTCTTCCAGAGTGATCAGAAGAGGCTCTACAAATCATTGGAGCGACCAATAGTAAGTGGAACGGGCCCAGCACCAAATCAGGCCGACACGGTCGCATTTTGGTGCAGCCTGTGGTCAGAGACCGTAAACCACAACGAGGGCCCTTGGACGGAAGTTGTGGCGAGTCAGTGTGCAGGTATTACGCCCATGGACACCGTCATCATAACGCCGGATGACGTAGCTGAGGCGGTCCGTAGGGCCCCGAACTGGAAAAGTCCGGGGCTTGACGGGATGCATCACTACTGGCTGAAGGGGTTCAAGGTGTGTCACGCTGTGCTCGCCCGACAGTTTCAAGAGGCTCTCAACCATAAGTCGCTCCCAAGCCTCTTCACTACTGGGATCACTCATTTGGTTCCTAAAGATAAGGGTGTCACAGACCCGAGCAAATACCGCCCCATCACGTGTCTACCGACCATATATAAGACACTAACATCCATTTTGAGCGCGAGAATCGCTCGTCACCTGGACTCAAATCAGGTGATGTCGCGCGCTCAAAATGGATGTCGGGGCGGCGGTTGTGGAACCAAGGAACCACTCCTCATTGACACGGACATTGGCAGGCATTTGAAGTGGTGATACGCAACTGTCGGAACTTCTCCGCCGCCTGGATAGATTACAGAAAGGCATTTGACTCGGTGCCCCATACATGGCTAAAGATGGTCCTCGAGCTGTACAAGATTGAGACAGTTCGAGACTTCCTCGAGCAGTGTATGGGGCAGTGAAGTAAGATCCTCTGTCATCTAGGCGAGCGGATGACGGCTGCGGAAAGCCACATAAGGATAAGAAGGGGTATATTCCAGGGCGACTGTCTGAGTCCAATCTGGTTCTGCCTCTCTTTGAACCCTATCAGTATTTTACTGGAGGGCTCCGGGAGGGGATTTCAGCTTCGAAAAGGAGGTACAAAAGTGACCCACCTTTTCTATATGGATGACCTCAAATTATTCGCCTCCAGTCGCTCCCATCTTATAGAATTGCTAAACATCACTTGTGAATTTAGCAATTCTATTAGAATGGAGCTGGGGACGGATAAGTGTGCGGTCCTCCATGTTGAAAGGGGAAGGGTTGCTAAATCTGAGGGCATAGACTTATCTATGCCCGTCAACTTAAGGGCCTTTTCCGAGGCTGAAACATACCGATACCTGGGTATGTCACAGAACATCGGTATCGATGAGGCTGGTATGAAACAGTCAGTTTGCGACGTGTTTTATGCACGCTTGACCAAAGTGCTTAACAGCCTTTTGTCCGGTGTGAATAAGACACATGCATATAACGGTTGGGTCATGCCTGTCCTCATGTATACCTTTGGCATACTCAGGTGGAGTCAGACTGAACTTAACGCCCTGGATAGAAAAGTCCGCACTACAATGACGTCCCATAGGATGCATCATCCGAGATCGTCGATAATGAGGCTGTACTTGCCGCGAAAGCATGGTGGTCGTGGCTTCCTGAGCGCGATCACCATTCATAATCGCGAAGTGTGCAGCCTCCGTCATCACTTCCTGGATCGGATGATCCGAGATCGGATGATCTATTCTATAATGACGTCATTTCTAGTGATAAAGGACTTACCCCTCTATCCTTAGCCAACGAGCAATGGCAAGACCCGGCAGTACAGAGCATTTCCGACCGGGAGACTGTATGGAAGGAGAAGGAGCTCCATGGGAGGTACTACAGGGCTCTACATGAGCCTCACGTAGATACAGCCGCCTCCCTCAACTGGCTACGTTTCGGTGACCTCTTCGGGGAATGGGTTTTGTCTGTGTAATACAGGATCAGGTTATTAAGACCAACAACTATCGGAGATACATCCTAAAGGATGGCACTGTCGACGTCTGTCGAGCTTGTCGCCATCCCGGGGAGTCACTTAGGCATGTCATCTCCGGTTGTTCGGCGCTTTCTAACTCTGAGTACTTGCACAGGCACAACCTAGTAGCTAGAATTCTACACCAGGAGCTCGCTCTGAAATACGGTCTCGTGGACCGAAAATTGCCGTATTACAAGTACTTGCCGGAAGCCGTGCTCGAAAATGACCGCGCCAGGCTCTACTGGGACCGGGCCATCATCACAGACAGGACTGTTCTTGCGAATAAGCCTGATATTGTGCTGATGGACCGGGCACAGTCAAGGATATTTTTGGTCGACATTACCATTCCGTATGACGAGAACCTCGTGAAAGCCGAAACAGAGAAACGAACAAAATATCTGGACCTGGCTCACGAGGTGACCGACATGTGGGGTGGTCTGCCGACCGAAATTATTCCTGTAGTCGTCTCTGCGAATGGGCTAATCCCAGTCAGCCTCTCGGGTCATCTGAGGCAACTGGGACTCCGTGACGGACCGCTCCGAACTCAAATGCAGAAGGCGGTGCTCCTCGATACCGCCCGCATCGTCCGCCGGTTTCTTTCCCTTTCCCCCCTAACCCTCGGCCGTTTGGTCTCCACTGCCGAGGGCTCCCATCTGGTTGGATTTTATTTATTTATTTATTTTTATATTTAGTTTATGTTATTGATATTTATGTATTATCTTTTCATTTTCATTTATAATTATATATTTATAGAACCCAACCAGATGGGAAAACATTGTTGATATCCTACAATAATAATTTTATTTCAGATACAAGCTCCATAATTTGTTAGTAATAAATAATATAAACTTAAAATTAATGTTAATAAATTTACAACTAAAAAACAACAATGCTTATTTTATATTAAATATAACAGCTCTGGACCCCATATGCACAGTGTTCCAGTGCCGCACTACCGGACAATCAAACCTACCTAATACAGTACATAGGAGTCCGTTGGCACTGTCTCGCACGCGTCGCATCAGGGAGGCCACTCTCTTCCGCAATAATTGTATCAAAGCTGTCAGTGTTAGCCTCAACAAACATACTTGATGCGCTACAATATCGAGACAGCCCCATTAGCATCCTAAAGCCATTATTATACTGAACACGTAGAGCATTTACGGATCGGCGAGTATACTTGACCCACAGGCTGCAGGTGTAAAATGTTTGGCAGTACGCCTTAAAAAGGGTTATCTTGACAGCTTTTGTACACCTTGCAAACCTGCGAGCCAGCATGTTGCACCTCACTGCTAACGCTCTACGTTCTCGTTCAATATCCAAGTCATCAGAGAGGTCATCTGTAACCCAGTGCCCCAGGTATTTAAATTTGGTGACTCTACTTACATGGGATATCTTTGGGTTTTTTATTATAATGTTTACCCTCCAATAATAATATTATTTTTCAAAAAAAACAATTGACTGCAAACTATCTCGTCTAAATTATTACTTTTATACATTTTAGTTTAATATTTTTATGACCGCCATGTAGCTCAGGAGATTAGAGCTCGTCATTAAATTTCAAACCGTACTATGGAAAGTGTTTGATTTTCGCCAGGACCAATGAAATAGTAAATTGCAATTTTGCACAATTTTATCTTAATGTGGCAGAGCTGCGCTGCACCTGTGTAATGTTGGCTGCAACACGAATAGAGAAACCTCAACGGGTAAGGAACACGCTCTCACAGAATACCAGTGTAAAATATCATCTTGGATATCGTGTAGAGAGAAGCGAAGACTCTTTTTTGCTAGTATCAAGACATTCTCAGTTAGTCTACAGGAGTGTCAACGCATCTACATTTTAAATCTAAAACGAAGATAAGCGTACGTATTTATACCTCAGCATCCATTTACCATCAGGTGGACTGTTTGCTCGTCTGAAAACCTTATCTAAAAATATAAATCTAGATAAATCCTGAAAAGTATCTGATTAATACGTTTGTGATAGACAGACAGGTCTAACAGAAAAGGAACACCAATGATTTTAGTAGAGCGAACTCCGTGGTAGCAAAGTCGCGGTAAAAACAAATAATAATCCATGTATAAGATATATAATCATAAAAAGTTGTGTATGAAATTGCTAGAAAAAATTTTCAGGACACATGACAACTCTCCCCTGCGTTTGATACGCGACCTGCTCTGGACCATACTTCTGGTAAATTATGAAATCCTACGAAGCATCTACAAGTGGTTTATACCAAATGAACGTAAGGATATCCGTGGAGAAGTCGTGCTGGTGAGTTCACTATACTTCTATAATCCTAATGTTTTTATGTTATTTCTGTATGCTGTATTTTGTCAACATCAAATTTTAGGCTTTTTTCTTGGCAGAAACTTTTTGTAGCTGATTGTTGTCCAGTTTACATCTGATCTTTGTGCGTAAGCGACTCGTCTAACCTTAACAAGCTCGTCGACTTAGGAAGAGTTTTGGTACTGACTACTAAAAGGATATCATATTATTACCATCAGTCTGAAACTATAATGAATCAAGGCCTCTCGAAAGCAATGATGAGTTTTCATGATGACCAAATCTGCAGTATTAAGGGCGTTTATACTTCAACAAAAATGACGCTAGGAGTATTGACTGCTCTAAATAAGTATATATAAGATTTTTATTCTTCAAAAATTTAAGAGAGTACGAGGGATTTTGTATTGCATCAAATTTGCATTGCATCGAATGTGGCTTTGAATTTATAAATTTGCGACAGTAATATTGATACACTTCAAATGAGTTTAAAGCAAATATTTTTATTTGCGTTCACTGTATCCACTGATGATAATTCGCTGTATAAAGACCTACCTAATAAGTATTTATTAGATAATATAATACAGATGATTAACGTAGTATCCATTAAAATTATTAGTAAAATACTTTAAATAGAAATAATTGTGTGATATCACTGTAATGCATAATTTCAATTACAGTTCGCTTACAAATGAATGATTTTTAGTTTTTACACATGCCAATTCATTATAAATATTCCTTTGCCACCAAGAGGTAAAATCAGAATTACAAATTGTACCAAATTTGGTATAATGTAGGTATATCAAAATTTAAGATAAGATTTTGTTAGCTCACATGGCCTATATGCTTTGCGATTTACCTGACCTCACAGACTGTGACTGAATTTGCGACGATGTCAAATATTCAGGCATATTTAAATCTTAATTATTGGTCAACTTCAACTTACGTAGTATATTCCGTAACCCTGGCCTTCACTTGACTAAAATGCTGTGCTTACGGGTATATTATATTACTCTATGGGCTAGGCATATCGTTCAAGGTCAGCGTATAATCAACAGGCAAGCTATCCTAATTACCCCCTGCTGTGCGTTTGTGTAATTCTAGTGCTAAACGTTTGACGGTGGGAATCTGTAATAAGTAAGTAAATATGACTTAAAATGCTTAAGAAATCTTTCAAAGGCTAGTGAGAATCGTGGTCAGCTTCGTTTTGACATTTGACGCAGCGTGAATGAGAGTCAAGAACGTAGGTCAAGAAGTTTCATACAAGCCACAAGCTTCATGTACGTAACAAACACAAGAATCACAGTAGCCGACAGAGATGCCAATGCGATGTCCGCGTTGGCAGTACTAATTATCGCGTTATTCATTCTGTTTGACGTTTTTTTTATTATACACTGGCATGTTGTCATCTGCCTGCTTGGGATGTAATATCTCACAGTCTGTGGTTCTGGTTATCTTGCTTTTGTAACCTCATCACAGCAGGGTGCCATTTACCTCAAAATTAGTCGACATGAAGTGAAGTTATTTTCGTTATCAATTGAATATGGTTGTAACTTCGCTCGTATCTCTAATTATCATTATCGTGATTGTCGTCATCGTTTTTGCTTTAGTTTTAATTATATTGCGGATATCCATAAATCAAGAAGAAACTCCAATCTCTACCGTCGTTTTGATTATTATTGCATTTTTGGAACATCTTTCGGTTACAAATATGTAATTTATATCTTTCGATAACTACAAAACAAATTAAATAAAAATGTGTGATAGTGGTAATAGAGTACGTAACAGTCATTATGAATAAATAAATATTAATACACTGTATAATGATAATAAACGTTGTCTACAGATCACAGGCACAGGTCATGGCATTGGAAGGGAGATGGCGCTGCGTTTTGCACGACTTGGTGCAAAGGTTGTCTGTGTTGACATTAATCCGCAGAGTAATGAAGAAACGTATAACATGATTACATCTGAATTGGGATATGCATTCAAATATGTGTAAGTAATATTACACAATAACCTCCTAACCAAAATACAACAAGTCATTAATCAGAGACGTAAATAAATTTTTAGAAATTTGTAGTTGTGACATCTACATCAGTTTTGTTACTTTTTATACAAGCAAGACCACTCAAACATGCTCACAGTCTACATAATAGTAAGTGAATGTTGTGGGTCAAAAACGCCTACAGCTATCCTCTATTAATAAAATAACAAATAGGTTGCCACATATGAGGGCTAAGATGGAGATAAAGTTTGAAAAGCATGGTCCTTTCCCAACGGAATATGTTCAAGCCGCAGCTATAAACAGCTGTTTCAGCATGGCTCCAGCACATACATCTCGAAATGTAGGTACATGCCAAATTTTCTCCAAACGCAAATCCCAATTAAGTGATGAATAAAAAACAGATGGGATGAGTCAGGGCAGATCTATCAAGAAATATATTTTTACGTGGTAGAGGCATGGTGCAGTTATATTAGTAGTATAGTTGTAGCACGAATGGGTCCACTCGATCGGGGAAAGACCACGCTCTCACAGAATACCAGCGTCAAATAGTAGCTTAATGCTGCTGTGTTTCGTATGGTGAGTGTAGAGAACCGGAGACACTTTTTATGGGAAACGAAGCATTCAATCCAAGTCCTCACGGGTGACATCGCCTCTGCATTTTGATTCGTAATCGAAGATAGATGTAGATGTCTATGGTCCACAGCAACCACTTACCATCAGGTGGAGTGTGTGCTCGTTTGTCACCCTATCTTATAAAAAAATGCTGGTATGCTATGCATGCATGTTATATGGTAGCTTGGCATTCTTGGAAAGACCAATGTCCAATATTGGACTTAAAAAGTCGGTCCAAAGTCTACTACTACTACTCTAGATCAAGATTTTAACTCACTCCGACGAGTACCAGATTTTTTGTTAATGTAGACCTAAAAAAAAGAATTCTAAATAATTTCTTTAGATGTGACGTTACTGATCGAACCGCAGTAATGGCGCTGGCCGAAAAGGTTCGCAAGGATGTCGGAGACGTGGATATCCTCGTGAATAACGCTGGCATCATGCCCTGTAAACCGTTCTTGCAGCAGACCGAACAGGAGATTCGCTTATTGATGGACATCAATGTCAACGCTAATATGTGGGTAAGTATTTATATATGACCTGATAAACTGGCTTTATGTTTAAAGAACATGTTTGTTGAACCGTAGGTTTTGTGTTCAAAAACAATTATTTATTAGCACGTAGGCTTTTCTAGCTTAATCGTACTCATAATGTTGATGACGACGATTCATGATTTTTTATGAAATTAATTTGTTACTATTTTAATATACAGATGAGCTATCTACGCCTATTTTATACCTAATAAATTACATCTTTGAAAATCAAGCCCTTTTATTCCATAGGGTAAATATTTAGTTGTTGTGTAGCGAAGCAGTCGACTAAGAGTAAAAACAGCTATTGCTAGCCCGCGTGACAAGCGTCATTATGGCTAATATGAGGTATCTTTGTTCAGCATTGGACATGGATTTGGTATCCGTTTTTGTGCTCCTTTCTCAAAACTGTGCTCAAAACAGTGGAATGCATTGCTTAATAATAATGATTTACAAAAATTATTTAATTTACTTATTTTATACAATATGTAAAGTAATTAACGCACACCCTCAGACACCCCAATTAGTATATTATGTTATAATCATAATACATACACTGAATTTTTAGTTAGTCATTTTTATGCACTAATTATTTATCAAATTAGGTATACTAATTCCGGATTACCTATATTGAAAATTATAGGAATCGATTCAGTAAACGATTGTGAACAAACCTACTTTCTCAAAGTGCGTTAATTATGTTACGTGTTGTCATCATCATCATCATCATTACAGCCCTTCACAAGTCCACTGCTGAACATAGACCTCCCCCAAAGTACGCCATAAAGCACGGTCCTGAGCCACCTACATCCATCGACTTCCTGCACGTCTTACCAGGTCGTCACTCCATCTAGTGGGGAGTCGCCCTACACTTCGCCTACTGGTACGAGGCTGCCACTCGAGAACCCTTCTTCCCCAACGGTTGTCGATTCTTCGAGCTATATGGCCGGCCCATTACCACTTCAGTTTACTAATCCGTTGGGCTATGTCGGTCACTCTGGTTCTACTGCGGATATCCTCATTTCGAAGTTTATCACGCAGGGAAACTCCGAGCATAGCCCTCTCCCTCGCTACCTTGAGCGTCCTCATACGGCCAGCATTGAAGGACAATGTCTCGGTTCGGTAGGTCATCACTGGCAACACGCACTGGTTGTACAACTAAGTGTTCAGGTTTTGTGGTATACCTGACGATAAAATGCGTCGTAATTTTCCGAACGCTGCCCAGCCGAGTTGAATCCGTCGATTGACCTCTCGGTCGAAGTTGGACTTACCTTGTCGGACTATTTGTCCCGGGGGAAACGTACTCGTCAACAACTTCGAGCTTAGTGCTCCCAACAACTACCGGCATGTACAATAAACATGTGACATGGACAATAAACATGATCTTTGTTTTGTCCATGTTCATCTTAAGACCTATCCGTTGGGAGGCGCTATTGAGGTCATTGAGCATAGTGCTTAAGTCCTCCAGCGATTCTGCCATAAGGACTATATCGTCGGCAAATCGAAGGTGAGTGATGTACTCGCCATTGATGTTAATACCGTATCCTTTCCAGTCCAGTGGCTTGAAAACGTCTTCCAATGCAGCGGTGAAGAGTTTCGGGGATATAACGTCACCCTGTATTACACCTCTCTGCAGTTGGATAGGTTTCGAACTCTAGTTCTGTATTCGGATAGCCATCGTACACCTACTGTACAAACACTCCAGCACTTCGATATACCGACAGTCAACTTGGCACCGCTGAAGAGACTAAAGCACCGCACAAATTTCGACGGAATCAAAGGCTTTCTCAAAGTCCACATACGCCAGGCAAAGTGGCAGATTGTACTTTTCGAACTTCTGTATTATTTGCCGAAGGGCATGTATGTGGTCTCTGGTACTGAAGCCTTTTCGGAAACCGGCTTGTTCAGGAGGCTGGAAGTCGTCGAGTCTGCGTGCGAGACGATTCGTAATGACTCTCGAAAACCGTACATAGACGCGGCTCAGAAGGGATATCGGTCTGTAGTTCTTCAAGAGGGCGTTGTCACCTTTCTTGAAGAACAAGACCACCGCACTTCTGCTCCACGCCTCCGGAGTAGTGCCACCATGGAGGACGAAATTAAAGAGCCTCTGAAGGACTTCAAGTACCGGTTTTCCACCCGCTTTCAGAAGCTCCGCTGTAATTCCATCTTCGTCCGGGGACTTGCCGTTTTTAAGATGCTGGAGAGCCATTCTAATCTCGCTCAGACTGACGTCCGGGATATCATCGGAATAGTGTCGGATAAGACTTGCTCTTGGATCGTTACTCACACTTACGTGTGGCTCCAACGATGATGTGTACAGCTGCCCATAGAACCTCTCAATCTCACTCAGAATCTCAGTTGTCCCGGTACGATGCTGCCACACTCAGTCTTCAGCTTTGACAGTTGGCTCTTACTGGCAGACAGATCTCTGGAAAAGACTTTGGAGCCCTGGTTTCGCTCAATCGCTTCTTCAATACGAGCAGTATTGAAGTTGCGCAAGTCTCGCCGCATGCATTTGGAGATCTGTCTGTTCAGTTGCCTGTATGCTGTCAAATCTGTTGACGATTGCAGCCTCATCTCCCGTCTAACAGCCTTTTATTGAGATTAAGAGTGTGATCGGAGAGTTTTTGTGTTCTTCTGCGGCGGGTCTTGCGGAACTTAGCTCCGACCACATGGACAGTTTCCACGAGCTTGTTATTCATATCGTCCACTGCATTGCAATCTTCTAGGCACTGAAAGCGGTTACGTAACTCGAGCTGCAAAGTCTCGGGATTCTGGATTAGAGCACGAGGGGGACGGAGCGTTGACTTCATTAGACGAGACCTCTCCAACTTAACGTTTAGGTTCAGTGTGCCTCTAACCATTCGTGATCGCTGCCAGTTTTCACCCTTGCGATCACTGAGACATCACTGAACAGTTGGCGTCTGGTCGTCATAATGAAGTCAATCTCATTTTTTGTCGAACCGTCGGGGCTCGACCAGGTCCACTTCCTGTGGGGCTGTATCTAGAGCAGTGGCGTCGAGCGCCAAAGGATGGAATGACTCGTTTCCAGTACAAAGGATCTCCGGTTCTCTAGACTTACCATACGAAGCAAGATTATGAAGCTACCTAAAAAAATAACGTTGGTATTGTGTGAGATGATCCTTCCCCGGTATACCCGACCCCTTCGTCTTACAACAATAATATAGCTACGGCATGGCTATACCACGTATAAATTAATAGAATTGTCTGAAACACCTCAACAAATTATAATATCTTGTTTACATTTTATTTCCAGTTAATTCAAGCATTTCTGCCAGCGATGGTGGAGCGCAATCACGGCCACATCGTGGCAATGTCATCGATAGCCGGTCTCATGGGACTTCAAAACCTGGTGCCTTACTGCGGATCAAAGTACGCCGTCCGGGGCATCATGGAAGCACTTGCAATTGAACTGCGATGCGAACCCAGGGATACCAGTGGTGTTAGTATAACTGTTTTTTTTTCTATTTGTTAGCTCGTTTGTATCACATTATAAAAAAATCTATATGGAATTTATACTAAGGATTAGTTGTACTTTATAATTGAATGTTATATATGACTTCAAAACGATCTTAATAATAACAAATAAAATGTTGCATTTTATTACAAATGCTTCATAGTCCAGGAGGAATCGGCGCAGAGTAGGAACTATTTCACCTCAATTTTTTTTTATGCAGTTCTCTTCAAATTTTCCTATTGATGATAAAAATGCATGTTACCGTGAGGCATCTCGGTGTCTATTGCATGAACGGATACTTTTTTTCAATTTCAAGGAATAGTTATTTTCAAACATGATAAATTAATATTATCCTTCAACGAGAGTATATTTTTCTTTATATTTCTCTATATATTTTTAATAAGTCGAAAAGTATCCGAATATGGAACTTTTCAAACTTTTAAAAATGCAGCAAGAAGTCATGGAGCTGTCTTTATTTGTATTTTATGAACAAGTTTAAAAAATGGTCTATTTGAAAATAACAATTCCTTGCAAATGCAAAAACGACAGGGCACCGAGTTGCCCGATGGCAACATGCATTATATCATTAAGAACACTATTTGAAGAGAATCGCATTAAAAAATTGAGGTAGAATAGTTTTCAGCACTCATGCGCCGATTCTCGCGATTTTTAAAAAAACTTGTCTTACCAAATGTTCAGCTGTGATAACTTTAAAACAGTGTTTCCCAATAAATGGTAAGCGTACTTTCAGGGGTACGTAAATTATGATAATAACCGAGGCGGATAGTAAGGGTAATAAACAAACTAAGCAAACAAATTAAAAATTGCAATGCGATTTTAATTATTAATATATTAATATTGTTAAGTATTTAATTATTAATATATTAATATTGTTAAGTATTTAATTATTAATATATTAATATTGTTAAGTATTTAGTAAATGACGAAAATATGATTTTATATTTTACTAGCGATCCGGCCGGCTTCGCACGGTTGATTTCTGGATCTCTATAACAGCGCCACCTACCGCGTCCGACTGTGAATGTTATCGGTCTAACCTTTTAGAAGTTTAGTGACAAACACACGTATAGAAGAGTTATATATAATATAAAGAGTTACCATTTCCGCTTTAAGCGGTACGCGAGCTCTTGAGCTCTATCTCGAAATGGTACGCATAAAACCACTGCTTTAAAACAATAAAGAAAACAAGAGTGTGTCAAGATTGTGCCAATTGAAAGTCGTGGTGTCTGCCTATCTCTCTGAGTGGCAGGCATGCGTTTTTATATTGTTATTTATGTATATATCCAGGTTTTCATGTATTTTGTAGCTGAATAAAGCTACAATGCGAGCATCGAATCTATTTTCATATACAATATCATGTATTTATTATAAAATTAACGTCGCATTGAAATCTTAGAGCTATCTATCACAAAAAAATATCAATGTCTCAAAAAAGAAGTAAATGAGAAAAAAATTGATTACAGATAAAATTCACGACAGTCTGTCCATACATCGTGAACACGGGTCTCTGCAAAAAGCCTCGTATCCGTTTCCAGAGCCTCATGAAAGTTGTCGAGCCTGAAGACGCTGCAGACATCATTGTAGACGCCGTCTTGAGGGACTCACTGGAAATCACTGTTCCTAGTATATTTTACTACGCTATTCGAGTAAGTTGTTTCAATCAAATCACTGTTCAGCTGTTAAAAATCTTAAACTGTACATATTATTAAAAAATGGTTGCTTAAACCTTTTTTATATGAATCTGAAGATAAAAAGCATATAAGATTTTTTAAATATCTTTAGTAGGTATATATTTTAGGCTTGTATTGCTATAGTTTACTTTTACCATCTTGTGGGGTTGTAGTCACCACTTGCTTATATTGGGTCCTTACATATGAAATTAGCGTTTTGTCGTACTAAATCACTTTGATGCGAAAAATCTCCACTTTGGTTAAGAATTCCAAATTCAAATTTATGAATTCATTTAGCTAGTACATTTGAGTTTTGAAAACAATCATTCATTTGTATTACCTCATAATTTTTTTCTTTGGCGTTGCTTATTACCGCACAATGGAAAACATGAAACATTGGTATATTTACGAGTACGACTAATACCGTGGCACCAGTGCTGTAGAAACAGCTCGACGGGTTAATGATGTGTACGGCGCTGGTGTCGCAAAAGAAAGCACGGTACGTTTTTAGTTTCAACGTTTTCGTTCTGGAAATTTCGACCTTCAGAACCAACTCCGTGGACGGCCGGAGACCAAAGTGGAAAATGAAGAATTAAAGGCTATTGTGGAAGCAGATCCATCACAAAGTTTAACTTTTACAAAATGTACCGGAGCATGAATATTATACAGATTCAGGATGCTATTATTTAGAAAGGATATTTTATCATCGACATTAGAAGCCGCCACCAAAGGGCCAAAATCAATTGAAGATGCGTCTCTCCTGAGAATCTCAATATTTATTCTTGAAAAATTGCGTAACTGCAGAAAAATAGGTTTCTGTTTTGAAGGTTTGAGTTTATATGAAAAATAAATCAAGTCGTGACGTGAGAAACAAGGAGCAGAGAGCTGTCCAAACTGAATCACGCGATCAGAAGAGGAAGTAATGATGAAGTCAATCAACGAATCATCAGTGTGAGTATTTCTATGAGTTGCCGCCAATGGGAGAACGCAGAGTTCGACTGATTCAATGATCGATCGAAGTTTTTAGGAGCGAGAAGTATTTTTTAACAAATCGGTGTTGAAATCACCCATTATCATGCAATGTATGTACTCAGATCTGGATGGATCTGAATGATGTCAAGAGCCGTCTCAAGTGAGGTAAAATAATCCATAGAAGGAGGACGATATACAACACCTAAAACTGCCCTAACACCCATGATGTTGATTTCTACAAATAAAAACTCAGCAGTGGCAGAATATGGGGAGGGGTAAGATAGAACAACTTTATAAGGAATATTTATTCGTAGGCATAGATTAGGTAATCTGTGTTCGTAGGTATATAGCAACACCACCTCCCCCCTTCTCAGTCCGATCATTGCGTATAAGAATGAAATTGGGTAATGGGTACAAACTCGACATAATAAATGGTTTTAGCCAACTCTCAGATATTAAGATAGCATCGACACAGTCTAGTGAGAATGCTTCTTCTAAGTAGGAAATATTGAGACTTGGAATGCTCTGTGCATTAATATGACAAACATTAAAATATTTTTTATGAGGCAAAAAATATTACTTAACTGATCGCGTAAAGGAAGTAAATTCCAGAGGCGTATGAGGAGTCTGAACTATAAATGGAATAAAAAAATTCATCCTCAGACATTTTTAAATTCTAAATAGTTTTATATATAATATGTATATAAGATAATAATAAATAATAAAATATTAAATACATTAAGAGATAAAACAAAGTCTAAGTATAAAATATCTACAACGCAGTTCGTATAAACCAGAAAATCAACTACTCCACTATCACTGCTCTATGCAATCAGTTGACTGATAAAGATAATCACAATCATTGTTTATAAAAATAACCTTAAATTAATAGAACATTAAAATACACTATTAGAAAAGTAAATACAAGGGCGGCACTGAAAATTTCGGGAATCAAGGAAGTGACACAACATTACTATTTAAAAATATATTTATTGCTTTTCGAAGTATTCTCCGCGAAATTTGACATATTTTTCCATACGATGGAACCAAACATTGAAGCAACCATTCCTTTCGGAAGTTGAGGTATCCAAAATGGCCGTTTTGTAGGCGTCCACATCTTCTTCAGGTGATGAAAATCTCTGTCCACGCAATTTATTCTTTATTTTAGGGAAAGTATAGAAATCATTAGGGCTTAGGTCGGGGCTGTACGGCGGATGGTCTAATAATTCTATGTTTTCTTGCTCTAAAAACTCTTTTGTTCTGTGTGCAGTGTGAGAACTCGCATTGTCGTGATGGAGGATAATGCGGCGGTTGCAGTTCTCTTTACGGAGTTCAGAAACGACCTGTGGCTAACAAATGCTAGCATACCATTCTACATTAACCGTTCTTTGTCCCTCAAGAGGAATAGTCGTAACATGGCCGGCTTGGAGACAAACGTGGCCACCATTTTTTTTTTGTAGCACTCCGTGAACGAACAATTTTTGTTGGCTTTAACTCATTTTCGAACACCCAAACTCGTGACTGGTTTTTTGTTTCGGGTTCGTACGCGTATATCCAGGATTCCTCACCTGAAATGATGTCTGAAATGATGTGAATCCACAGAGCGAATGCGGTATCCATCGGGAAAACAACTTTTTTACACCTAATTGTTCATGCAAGATTATTTGTATTTGACTCATGTCATGTCTAAAGTTGCCTGAATTTCGCGGTATGTCACATGTCGATCTTCCTCAATCAGCTTACGCACAGCATCAACGTTTTCTTGGGTGACTGCAGTTTTTGGACGACCTTGACGGGGATCATTACTGAGCTTGACACGTCCACGTTGAAATTCAGCAAACCAGCGATAAATTGTGGTTCTGGATGGGGCTTAATCACCAAATGCAGAAATCATCCGGTCAACACACTGTTTTTGTGTTAAACCACTTCGAAAGTCATAATAAATCATCGCTCTTGAATTTTCTCGAGTCAATTCCATTTTCTCAACGACTAAACAAGTTTGACAAAACCTTGTGACAAGACCAAGAATCTTTTTTAAATTAATAAATGGTTTTCGATTTTTAAAACCAAGGAATTTTCAATTAAAAAGATTTTAATATAACAGGAACAGTGGAAATATTCCATTCCCGATACTTTTAGTACAGCCTAGTACAGAAACAGGATATAACATAACATCAACATTAAGCTAATAAGTCCACAACTAATCTTTCCCAACGAAAACAAAATCAAACGTTTAATTTGTTATTTAGTTATGGTATAAAATATCATCTGTTTGCCAACAGTATTTTAGAAACATTAAAACACACTAGGTTGCAAGGTATAATATCTTTGCCTGTACTTGGCGTATAGTAATTACAACAATATTCTTTGTCTTTACAAAGTAACAAAATAACTGTTTAATATTTATATTTTTCTACCTACATAGTTTATTACTAACAATATTATAATACTATTATTACTGCTTTAATCTTATTATACGAAGTAAATAATAAACACTTAGTAGTTTAGTTAAATCAATTAAACTAAGAACATAAATATAATGTAACGATAATTACTACAATACGATCAATAGAAATAATAAAAAGCTTGAATGATACCAAGTAACATAGGACTGAATAAAGTAAGCTTAATTATTTTAAAGAATCGTAACAACCTTAAGAAAGTGTGTGAAAATATAAACAATGTCATTATTTTTTGGTCACAACGCAGTGTACCCTTTTTTTTTCGTTGCTTGGACCCGAATGTGCCCCTTGATAGCGTAAGACCACTTCTTATTGGCGACTACATTTAGATGTACTTGGTTGTGATACACCAGATAGATTACCTGTGCTATCTTCGGTTTTGGGAGGTGATGTATTTGAAAGAGAACACCCTGGCGAGTACTTGGTGACAAGATTATTGAAGTCTTCCTCAGAAGTTAATTTTGCCCGACTACTATCAGGCAGTTTAATATAGACTGTGCCATCAAGCGTCCACACATTGCTCATGCCAAAGTACTTCCTGGCCTGCTTGTGAATATTTTGACGTGTCTATGTGAGAAACTCAAACAATGAGAAAGACGTATCTTTTAACTTAGCCTTAGACTTCCAAACTACTGATTTTGTATGTTGATCATGGAACTGGACGAGGATTGCTCTAACTTGATCTTTATCTTGTGAGCCCAATCTGTGACACCGTTTGATCGAGGTTCTGCACACATCAGAAAGGCCCATTTTGCTATGTATTAAGCTTAGAATCTTGTCAATTTAGCTTACTTCAGAGTCCTCGCGGATGCCATTGAATAGCAATACATTTTGCCGTTGCCGCATGTCAAGTCCATCAATTGTGTTTATACAACTTCTAACTAGCAGTTGCAGTAGACTAAACATTTTTGTGACCAAATCCTTGAATGCATAAAATTCCTGACTTAGCTGCACTAACGTTGGATTGGATGGGACCAGTGCAGCCTTCAAACGATCTTCGAATTCTGCGATTTTTTGCATCCAGCTGACTTCCAGTTCTTTCTGTATTTTGTCTACATTATTGATGCTTGCCATATTGTAATCGTAATGTAACAGTGCTTAATGGTTGTAAATACACACGTTGCCGATGGGTGATGCAGTAAGTTATTAAAAGCTTGTTTACATAGATAAATTATTATTTGAGTACATTAAAATTTCTTTTCTCAATATACTTATCGTATAATTTACCCTTATCTATTGTGGAAATTAATAAAATTTGAAATTATAAATAGGAGCACTTAAAAACAGTTGTTGACTTTAACACCTACCCGCAGTAAAAACATATTTTTCTGCCAAATTTATTAAATATATTTTACAGAAAAATATGACTATATTCCTCCCGTACAAAATGCCAATTTTATATGTAAGGACCTATTAATAAGTAACAAAAAAGTTATCTGGTTTTTAAAATAATTATATTCCAGTGCGTCTTTGAACCCAGACCACACATTTTTTTGAAACTGAAGTGATTATTATTAGTGCCGCTCCGCACTGCATGAATATCGAAGCCACAATAACAGGTGTACGGATTGCAGTACAGTTCCGTTGAACATAGTGAGTGTTCGGGAATGCGAAATCTAGTGCGTAGTACATATATATCGATGATCATAGCCTGTAAATATACTGGCTCTTTATACTCTCAGGACTGGAATAACACAGCAGACAGAACCACACCGCAGAGACCTCCTCAAGCAATTTCTTTTGGACACAACAAGAGCGCGTGCATATGATTTTTTTTATAGAATAAGGGTGACAAACGAGCACACAGTTTACCTGACGGCAAGTGGATGCTATGGCCCATAGACATTTATCCTCGATTAAAAATCAAAACGCAGATGCGTTGTCACTAAGATGGAATGCTTCGTTTCCAATAAAAATGGTCTCCAGATCTTTACACTTACCATACGAAACACAAGCATTAAGCTGCCATTTTATGCGAGAGCGTGGTCCTGCACCGGTCGAGCCTACCCATTCGTGCTCAACCATAATATTACTGCAGTGTGGCTCCACCACGTATATATATATATACAACACGTAACATAATTAACGCACTTTGAGAAAGTAGTTTATTCAGAATCGTTTACTGAATCGATTCCTATCATTTTTAATATAGGTAATTTTTTATCCCAAAAATAATTAAAACTACGTAAATTACAGTCACACTAAATCTGTACAGTCAAAACAAACTGAAATAGATCGTAACTTAAGTCAATAAGACTTTTAAGAGTGCAGTTTTATTTGTATTATTACTAATTCTGTCATTGAATAAAAATAAAGAAAAATGAAATTTATTTCAAGCATATTAAAGTCTTTGCGTTCGTGGATTTGTACTGTGACCACAACATTCTTCCGGAATTAGTATAACTAATTTGATAAATAATCAGTGCATAAAAATGTTTAACTAAAATTCAGTGTATGTATTATGATTATAACGTAATATACTAATTGGGGTGTCTGAGGGTGTGCGTTAATTACGTTACATATTGTATATATATATATATATATATATATATATATATATATATATATATATATATATATATATGATGATTGATGATACTGATAATCCGCTGAACGCCTACTTAAGTTTCTATACTTACCTCTTTTCTTTTTCTTTGTTTCTGTTTCACTCTTTGCCATCTCTTTTTTCAGCTCTCTTTGGTAGAATAACATCTACATTTTTGTAATCGCATAAAGCATTGCCACGTTATATACCATGTGGTAGTGACGTAAGAGTATCCTCGTAAGAGGTGACTATGGGGCATACCAAAAAGAACCTATAGCTTTCGATAGATAGCACTATAACCGTCTTGTCAACGCCATGCGTAAAATATCCATTTCGGTAACGGGAAGCTAATCTCTCCGTCAAGCATGACTATTTAGACGAATCCTCCCTACATTGTGTACTACAGGCTGATGAAGAAGACCAAACCATGTAGTGGCGGTGTAAGAATATCCACTAACTCATATCGCCCCGTGGGTGCCGTGAGGGGCGACAGAGGAAAACAAATCTGGATATGGGCCTAATAGACTAAAAAAAAAAACATGCGTTGAGTTGACGCATGCGCACAAAAAACCTGCCAAACATGGCAACTGTGACAAATATCCCTCCTATTAGGTAATCTATGAGGGAGGCCTATGTTCAGCTGTGGACTTTAATAGGTTGTAACGATAACGGATGAAGAAGAATAAGATGCCTACCTCACTACAATTTCATGTTTCATCTGAATTCATTTGTTACAGTTTGCGTATCGCTTGATACCATTTACGGCGGCGGCAATTATCATTAACTTTTTCGACTCTGGACTTGAGGCACACGACGATTAAATACTTTATTTTATCAAACAAATATTAGTTGAATATATATAATGTTAATGACTATTGATTATAATCTTTTATTACAACTCCTAAATCCATACATTATGGTGACATCATATGACGCATCTGCGACAACATAGGCTAATCGCTTTTGGGTATTAAAAAATATGAAGTCTATTCCTTTACTTTCACTAAGATATCTTTTATAATCTAACAACGGAAGTTTATCGACCAAACAGACCATTAAGTTGTATTCCTTTCCATTATATTACATTCCATTTATTCCATTCCATTCCATCCTATCCTGTCCCGTTACGTCTCGCCCCGTCCCGTCCAGTCCCGTCCCGTCCGGTCTAGTCCCGTCCCATCCCTTCCCATGACATACCATGACACTATGGAATGATATTAATGTATTTGTAGTCAAAGTTTTATATCTTATTTATTACTCCTTATTTGTAAGCATAAAAATAAAGTTACTTGCGTAGCTTGCGTACTCGGTACCAGCGTATTCGGTACCAGCTCTATTTTACTTTTGTGAGAGTTGTGGAGCAGTTCGACCGACGCGCCACATGAGTAAAGAAACCGACCAGAGGGGAAGCTACGTACGTACAAACGGCTCGCTGCGACGATACCCAATATAGCGCAGCGATGTGTGTACTCCAATGGTTTGGGCACGTTGAACGAATGAGTGAAGACCGAATGGTGAAGAAAATATATAGAGCGAAAGTAAATATTTAAAAGGTGTCGAGGTAGACCGAGACTAACTTTCGAAGACCATGTGAGCAAATTGCTCGAAGAGGGGAGGGTCAAGAGTACTCGGATACCTAGACGTGCATGTATGAAGAAGTTAATGAACCTGAAAGAAGCGAAAGAGGTATGTAAGGATCGTGACACTTGGCGATCTGTTCTCTCTGGCTACCCCGTTAGGGATTGTGCGTGAAGATAAGTAAGTAAGTAAGTAAGATGTGTGCGTGAGCTTTCACCGAAAGGTTCACAGACGCTCCGTCGGGGTACAAGCCGGTTTGCACCGGCTCAGCCTCAGTCAGAGTATCCATGAGACAACAGCCCGTTAGTCGTGCGCATTTAAATATATGGAAGAAAAATATTTCAATATGTATATAACATCAATTTTTTTTAATATTTTTTTACTATTAGAGTTAAGTTTAGAGATTGTTTATTATAAAATAAGACATTATAGATTTATATAAGTAATTAATTAGTGTTATATATAAATTAATGCCCAACAGTGGTATAGTATGTATAAAAACGAGAGAAAGTAATACAATTACCAGACAGTGGTGTAGGTGGTGTTAGTGGTAGTGGTGCTGGTGTTGGTAGTAGTGGTACTGGCGTGGCTAGTGGTACTTGTAGTATCGTTGGTGGTGGTGGGTAGTGGACCACTACCAACACTGTCACTACTAATATCACAACCACGACCATCATCACCACAACAGTCATTACCACCACCACTACCACCATCAACACCACAAACACCACCACTGCCCATTACCACTATCACAGCCATTACTACCACCACCAGATTTTTTGTACTCATGAATACGTTGTCTTACTAAAATGATATTGATAAAAATAATTAATATGAAGCTTCTGTGAGAATACCTATTTCTTTAAAATTCTCTCGAAGGGATTCGCGTGGTTTTCAATTATAAAATTCACCTATTTTCTCAATATTCGCCGCTTTACCCTACAGTAAGATTCCATAAGACATAATACTATTAAAATTAGCAGAATATACAATTTTTGTACTTCCAATTTAAGTTACAATAAATAGACATGTTGTTATATTAATTTAAGTTAGGGTAAGCATTAGTAATGTTGGCCTCAATGATTGGCCTCTCGAATGTAAAATCAATATATTAAGAGTTAGCCTTGAGTACAAGGTAGAAAAAAATTGTTATATTTTTCTTTGGTGACAACACTCTAGAACGTAACTGGTAGTTTTAAAACTCAACAGCTAGCAACACTCGAAAAAAAAAATCACATTGCAGCCGACTTTTGGCGGGAACTCCAAACGAGGCGGTCGATTTAATAATTTTTACTGTTTTTCGTTAAAAATATCCTGTGTGAATATTACCAAAACTTATTTTAGTCAGTGTAAATAATTGTACATTGATTTTGATTTTTTTATTTTTGTTAATTGACATTGATTAAAATGAATGAACCGGAGGACCCAGGTGGAACTTCGAAACGATCCAAAATTGTTCGTAAAAGAGGTACGAAGGAATGTGGACCTGAAGTAGGCGGCGGTGAGGATGACTTTATTCCGTTTTTTAAGCCAGGTTATCTGAGACTTTATCCTGAACATTGTACAAATACGGACTTCAAAGTTTTTGTTGAAAACCGGGACCAACAGGTTAAAATTGGAAATAAAAGCCCAGTTTACTTAAATCATATTTTTACTTCGGAGGTGAAAGGTGTGGTAGCTTTACATAGAGTCAATGCTAATAAAATTGCGGTTGTCTTTAAACAATACAACACTGCAAATAATTTCATCACAAATACAGACTTTTTAACAAAGCACAACTTGAAGGCACATATTCCTGCAGCGCAGATAGAAAAAACTGGAATCATCAGATATGTGCCTACCAGCATTTCGAACAAGGATTTATATACGAAACTGTCTTCGATCTATGAAATTATTTCAGTGAGAAGATTCACGAAAAAAGTCGGTCAAAGTACTGTAGGTCTCGAGACTGTCAGTATAACTTTCTTGTCAAATATTCTGCCCGATAACGTCCAATATGACCTATTTTCGTTCAGGGTGTTTGAATATGTCCCGCCGTTACAGCAATGCTTCCGGTGCTTCAGGTTCAACCATCCTGCGAAAATTTGTAATGGTAAACAACGTTGCTCGATATGTGCTGGGGAACATAATTTCAGAGACTGCGATAAAAAAGAGAACCTGTGTTGTGTCAATTGCAGTGGCCCTCACCTGGCTATTTCCAAATCTTGCCCAATAAAAATGAAAAAAATACTTGAAAAAAAAGGGTAAAATTACTTATGCCTCTGTTGCAAATACAATTACGTCATCTGATTTTCCGTCTTTACCGGCACAGTCGAACAGCATTGTTAAGAGCCTACCATCAATAAGCCAAAACGTACATAAATTAAATAAAAATGTAAAAATTGTAAATAAAACAGTGCCTGAACCCAACTTGAACCAAACTCAACTAAAGGCTCAAATTGCAAACAATAAGAATATTCTGATGGCAATGGTTCAAACTTTAGTTGAATTGGGTAATAAAACAGATAATGAACCTGTGACTACTCTGTTCATTAAAGACTTACTTTTAAAAAATCTGTCACATTAATGGACAGTACAGTACAGAACATACAGCAGTTATGTATAGCTCAGTACAATATTCAAAGTCTACATAGGAAAAAACCCTTACTGTCAAAATTTTTAGCTGAACAAAATGTTGATATATGTCTACTCAATGAAACTTGGCTTAAAGATACTCAGCATTTTAAAATTTCGGGATATAATTCCCACTATCATAATGCTCAAAATGAGCATGGTGGAGTAGCAATTTTGATCAAACCGTATTTTAAATATAATATTATTCAAACCAGATTTTACCAAGATATTCAGACTATAGCATTATCGTTATATGTAAGTGGTAAACACTTAACGATCCTATGTGTATACTGCCCTCCCTCGAATGGTAACTTCAGAATAAGTAAACTGCGTAATATAATTAGAGATTTGCCTAAGCCAATATACGTGGCTGGAGATTTCAACGCTCATCATGTGGCATTTGGATGTATGACCACGAAAAGTCGGGGTCATCAATTATACGATTTAATTGATGAATTTGATCTGTGTGTCCTTAACAATGGAAGCTTCACTACTATTAATTATCCTAACCGAAATCCTTCAGCTATTGATGTCAGCTTTTGTAGTGCTCCAATCACTCAACTATGCGAATGGTGGGTGCATGATGATTGTATGGTTAGCTATCATTTTCCTACGCTTACTCGTGTTTTATTGTCCGTTGATAGATACCAAATTAATCCTCCCATTGAAAAATTCTTATACAACAAGACAAACTGGACGAAATACAATGAGCTGTCTATAACTGCTTTTTCTAATTTTGAAGTTAATAATGAGAATCCATTAGTCATATGACGAATTTAAAGAAAGACTTGATACACTTAAGAGGGATACTGTACCAAAGTTTGTCATAGCAAATAATTATCGTTGCAAACCTCCAGCACCTTGGTGGAGCGACATATGTGAACAGAGTGTTATTAAAACTTATGAAGCTTTAAAACTGTACAGAAGGGATCCAACCATTGATAATTATATTAATTACAAAAGACTTAATGCTGTTAAGAAAAAGATTATTTCAGAACATAAACGCAATGGTTGGGTGAACATCTGTAATACTTTTAACAGAACTACACCTGTTAATATTATTTGGAAATACATCAAGTTATTTAAACGAATAAAATGTAATAATAGAACATATAAAGATGAATTTGTTGTCCCTCTCTTAGAAAAATTATCTCAAAATGGATGTAGGGTTATTGATAATCTAGAAAGTTATTTTCAAATTAATAATAGCCTTCAGAAATCCAGTTTCCTCATAGAACCCTTTACTTGGAGTGAGTTTTGTACAAGTTTACAATCCAGACGAAACACAACCCCTGGTTTAGATGATTGTCCATACATTTTGATTAAAAACCTAAATCAGTCCGTTCAAAAAAAAAACTATTAGCTAATCTTAATGCTCTTTGGCACTTAAAAAAAATTCCTGAATCTTGGAAAACACAGTGTGTAATCCCTCTACTTAAGCCTGACAAGCTACCTGAAGATCCTAATTCGTATCGTCCCATATCATTGTCATCTTGTGTTGGAAACCTTAATGAAAACATGATAAAGATGCGTCTTGAGTATTATGTAGAGGCGAACAACATCATTCCACATGTTCAATATGGCTTCCGGAGAGGGCGAAGTTGTGCTGACAGCTTCATCTCTCTCTTGT